TGAACTGTGGTCAATGACATGAGACAAAGTATATGTGAACTGCTGTATGGAAAGTGAATTTGCTCTGTAAATCTTCACCCAAATCACAATTAAAAAAAAAAAAAAAAAGAAAACAGAGGCAAAAACTATTATATGCACAACACTGCAATATCACTGGCACCAAACACCAGGCACAGACATGTGACAAAAAGCAGGTAGGGATAGGTGAACAGGAATATACCCTAGACCAAGGATAGATTTGGCTGAAGATGATCTTACATATGCATTTGTGCTACAAGATTAGCCACACACATTACAGAAACAACAAAAGACAGAGTTGGGAGTAACTTCTCAAGAGACAACCAAATATCTTATGAGAGAGAATCACCAGGCCTGGGGGCTTGGGACAATAGTCTCAAGGAACATCATCCTCAATTGGCACACACAGTTCATAAAAATCTTATTCTAAACCTACTTTGGTGAGTAGCAACTGGGGTCTTAAAAGCTTTCGAGTGGCCATCTAATATGCAACTATTGGTCTCCTCTCATCTGGCACAAAGAAGAATGAAGAAAATCAAAGTCATCTGGAAACAATCAGTCCAAAGATAAGGTGGACCACGAGGACCTCAGCCTCCATGACCTGAGGCCAGAAGAACTAGATGGTGCCTGGCTATCAATGCCAACTGCTCAGAAAGGGATCAAATGTGGAGATCCTGGATAGAGAGGGAGGAAAAGTGCGGAATAAAATTCAAAAACACAAAAATGACCATAATTACTGGTAAGATAGAGATCGGTGGAACCCCTGAGACTATGGCCCAGGTTACCCTTCGGGCCTAGAAATGGACTCACTTACATGGATTGGCTCTCAGCCCAACAGCAGAAAGACCTACATACAGAACACCTACCCCAAGTCAATGCATCCACCTACTCTAGGGAGATACACCCCTTAGATCAATCAGTCATAAGACACCAGAGGGGTAGCACTCACATAGAAGGAAAGGTGGACAGATAGGAATGCATAGATAAGAAGGGCACAAGGAAGGGGTGGTCACAGGGAGGTGAGGAGAGCAGATTTTTTTTATAGCTGGGGACAGTAATTGGGGCCATGAAATCAGATGCGCATGAACTGTTAAATGTAAAACAAGTTTGTTTTATAAATCTGCACTCAAATCACAACATAAAAATTAAAAAAAGATAAAATGGCAGGCTGAGTAAAGTTATAAGGCTTAATAAGTTATCCTAGGGACCAAACTATACTACATTTTATGATTAAAAAATACTCTTCTTTAACCCAGTAAACCCTTCCTAAGTTTCTTCATTGTTGTTGTTATTATGTACCATCGAGTCAGACCGACTCACAGCAACCCCTCCTTGGGTTTCCGAGGCAGTATCACCATGGAAGTAGCAGATGGCTTCTTCATTACAGTAATTTTTAAACGCACACTTAATATTCTAAAAATAATTGATAAGATGATCAGAAATACTGCTAAACTTTTCTGTAAGTCTGAAATTATGTTAATTTTTTTAAAAAAAATTAATAAAGGAATATAATCATCCCCACTGTATATACTAACAAACTAAACCTCAGACATGTCTGGGCCCTGGAGTCAGAAATCCAAATATGTGACCTGGGACAAGTAACTTCTAAAGTTTCAGCTTCATTATCTATTAAAATAAATTTAAATAATCATACTTCTTTCATAGGGCTCTTGAGCAAATAGTTAATGCATACTCCATGACATTTTAAAAAAAAAAAAATGTTAAATTAATGGTAAGTTACTATATTACGAATGTGTTACAAAGATTGTTGTTACATGCAAAACCCATATGACAGAGTAGAACTATCCCATAGGGTTTTCTAGGCTGTAATCATTACAGAAGCAGATTGCCAGGTCTTCCTCCAAATGGAGCCACTGGGTGGGTCCAAACAACCAAGCTTTCAGTCAATTGTTACACCACAAAAACTCCATACAAAGATGATAAACAGTTAAAATTAAACAACAACAAAAATAAAAGAAATGGTATCAAGTACAAAAGTAAAACAAATCAGGTTGAAAAACGTAAGCTTCATGTCATAGTTCCTTGTCTTCCAGACTTGGCCAAATTCAATTCCATCTTAAAGATCTAGCATAATTTTCACTTTTCCAAAAAAATTATTCTGAATAAATAAATAAATTAAATAACTTGATTCTGAGCAATCAAAAGTACTTTATTCCTTCTAAATTTGTTTCATTTAAATTGAACATAATATGATAATTCCATGAATGGAAGGATGATGATGTGGTATTTGTATCTCTCTTTATCTATTATAATGATGGATCACAGCAGACAATCAATAATTTCCTTTAATAAATAAAACCATATCTATCTACTTGATTCAAACTAAACCAAAAAAAAAAATCAAATTCACCACATCAAGTCAATTCTGACTCACAGTGACCCCCTTTGGGTTTCTGAGGTGATAAATCTTTACATAAGTATGCAAAACCACCAACCTTCTGGTTAGAGGTCAAATGCCTTAGGCACTGTGCCACCAGAGCTCCTTTGATTCAAACTAGCAGATATTATGTTAACCAGAATTGCAGACCAAGCAAAAAGGCTCATTTAATATTACCTTTCACCATCCGCATAATTTATAGACTCCTCAATGTTACTGTTACTAGAAGTTGAAACTGTTCCTATCTGTTGACTTGCAGATTTTAATTGTTCAATTTCCGTTTTTAGTTCTTCACACTGTAAATGGATTTGTGATTTTTCCATTTCTAATAATTCAACCTGATAAAAATAAAAATAAAATTTTTTTGTACAATTTAAAAATACTAATGCCAAAATGCAAATTTAACCTAAGAAATTTAGAAAACCTGCTTGATGAAAACTGACTACTTAAAAGGTTAAATAGACCAAGTGTTTTAGAAACAAACTTCATTAGTTTATAATTTCATATATCTATCTTTTTACACTGAAAGAATACAATGTTTTAATTACCAGTGACCAAAATCAAGTGGTACCTAAAAACTAGAAAGCCAAAATACAATTGTTTAAATTACACTGATGTCACAGTGGCTTTTATTTTTTGAACACTCACCAGTTTTAACAGTGAGCCTATATTGATTTTTATATATTTTGTCATCTAGCTCAAGAGCCAACATTTCAAGATGTATAACTGAATGAGCAGTTATGTCAGCAGTATGACCAGGAAAAAAAATCACACTATATATTGTGGTTTTTAAATTTTTGGTTTTTTTGTTTGTTTGTTGCAGAGAAACTTTTCAAACACCACATAAAAATATCAATGTTGGTGCACAAAACAGTAGGATAGTAGAATTTTTACTTTTGTAAAATGTCAGGTAATACCCAAAAGGTGGAAACAACTCCAAGCCTATCAACAGGATAAATAGTTAATTAAGTCAAAAGGAGAAGTACTGCTAGATTCCATTTATAGGACAAATCTGCAACAAGAAAATATACAGAAAGAGAAAGTAGATACTGGTTAGTGACATGGGGCTGGGGAAGGGGAGTTAGCAGGTCTTTATGGTTTAAATGTTCCAGGACTCCTATTACTATAACTATGTTAGAAGAAATAACTTACCTCACTTTTATACTGGTCCCTCTCAATACTGCATTTGTCCAGCTGTCTAAATACATCATCAAGTTGCACAGCCATGTCATCCATTTCACTTTTATTCTCACTATTAGAACACTGACTACATTCAGCCTTCACATGTTGCAAAGCTGTACATTGTTTTTTCAGCCTTTCTATTTCTTCTAAAGCTTGCTGATACTGAGATGCTATGTACTCTGAACCTTCAGATTTGCCATTAATACTTTCAAGTAAAAATACAGCATCAGTTTCAGTAGATTGATGGCAAATTTCCTTCTTCACATATTTGTCATTCATTTCTAGTATACTCTGTTGTAACACTTTCATCTGGTCAGTAAGTGTATGGCACTGTCTTTTATAATTTTCTTTTTCTTGGGTAACTATTAGTAGTTCATTTCTCACTTCATTTAGCTGGCAGCCAGCATCACCTGCAGATTTATCAAAGTGTTCCTGGGTTTCATGTATCTTTACTTCAGCTTCTCCACAGGATGCCAGTGCAGCTTTGTCATTCCTTGCATCTATCTCATCTTCAACAGTTTCTTCCTTTTTAACCACCAAATTTGGTACTTCAGTCTGTGTGGCCGCAGTAGTTCCCTGATCACATCTAGAAGATGAGGTACTAGTTGAGCTAGTCTGGCCACAAGGTTCATTATCATGAACAATCTGGACCTGAACACCACTTTGCTCGATGTGAATCTGTTCTGATTTCACTTCAATATCATGATCTACTGCAGGTTTAGGAGTACTGTTTTCTTCCAAGATGATGACATCTTCATCATCATCATCTTTATAAGTAGAATTTTCAAATGTCTGGCTAGACAATCTTCGATTCTTAGCATTCAAAATTGAAGAACGAACAGGAAGTCGCCGTTTCAGGCTGGAGGGAAAAAAAATCCATGTAAAATAAAAATACAGACAAGCAACCTTATAGCAATAATTCTAACAAATACATTATTGCCAACACTCTTACAACAATTTTGAAATTGTGAGAAATTCCCATGCTTGTTTTTTTTTTTAAGTTACACAGCATACAGTACTGATCAACAACTTAATGAAGCAGAAATTCTTACTTTACAGATGAGAGCACAAGAATGGTAGCATAGTGCCTAAGGCATTTGACTGCTAACCAAAAGGCTGGCAGTTGAAACCTACAAGCCACTCCTTGGAAGGAATGTTGGGCAATCTACTTCCGTAGTGATACTGCCTCGGAAACCCAAGGAGGGAATCAGATACGACTCTACAGCAGCGGGTTCGGTTTTGATGGTTCAAGTGTCAGATCTACATGCCAAACATTGCTTCATTTGATACCCTTCAGGCATTTCAATGTGTTGTTGTTGTTGTTGTTGTTATGTGCCGTCGAGTCAGCCCCGACTCATAGCGACTCCTCCTTGGGTTTCCGAGGCAGTTATCACTACGGAAGTAGGATTGTCCAACCTTCCTTCCAAGGAGTGGCTGGTGGGTTTGAACCGCCAGCCTTCTGGTTAGCAGTCAAGTGCCTTAGGCACTATGCTACCAGAGTTCCCAATGTGTACATGTCCAAAACAGCATCTTACTCCCCTAGCACCACTCGACCCTGAGACGTCTCTCTTGCATTCTCAAGCTCATGAATGACACTGCAAATCATATTTGCCCACTGTAATTTTTACCAGCATTCAGTGATCAAAGATAAGCCACAAAATAACTAGCATTACCTAGTCTTTCACATAAAACAATGTTCCCCTACATTAAAAATTGCCACATTTTACTCATGTGCTTAGTTTTCTATGGATTTATCACCAACTGAATACTTTCTTCCAACTTGCAAGGAAATCTGTACTGGTGGGCTCTAAGTCTGTCTACTAGATCTCCTATTTTCCTTTTTCTTGAGCTTACTTCTCATATTGATGGGAGTATACCCTCAAATACCATCTTGAGAAAGAGCACCTGGGACACGAAAATGTAAATCTTTGCATTTGAAAATATTTTTACTATACTCAAGTTGATTGCTGGCTTAATTGTCACATAGACCTGCAAGTGGAAATCATTCTCTCAAAATTTTAAAGGTACACCATACTATTTACATCTGTAGTTGTCAAGTGCCCTCAAGTCAGTCAGTTCCAACTCACAGCAACCCTATATACAACAAAATAAAACAATGTCCAATTCTGGACCATTCTCACAATCGTCACTATGCTTTAGCCCACTGTTGGAGCTACTGTGTCAATTCATCTCCTTAAGGGTCTTCTTTTTTGCTGATCTTCTACTTTACCAAGTGTGATGTCCTTCACCACGGACTGGTCCCTTCTCACAATATGACCAAAGCATGTGAGATGAAGTCTCACCATTTTCACTTCTAAGGAAGCAATTGAAAATATCATAGCTTGGGTCAGGCACACATTAGTCCTCAAAATGACATCTTTGTTTTCTTTTTTCTAAGAGGTTTAAAAAAAAAAAAAAACACTTTAGGGGACTTCCAATAAGATAGAGGAATAGGCAGACAAACAACAAAGACCCTCTTCAATAAAGAAAAGAGAAACCAATTAACAGAGACACAGAAGATAATCCTGGAACCATGAGCTTTGAAAGGGCGTATACAGAAGTAGATTAGGCACCAACCAGCAGAAAAACCTGAACGAAAACTGGATCTAAGAATAAGCTCTGTTTGCCAAGGTCAGCAGAAACATACGAGAGGCTGATAAAAGAAAAGGAGACAGGTGGTGAGTGTATAAGTGCTGTCAACTAGTGAATAGAGGAACACAACACAGTACCCTGCTTACACAGATAACATACAAACAAAACGAAAATCATGGGCAAGTCACTCCAATATACCAATTAAATAAAAACACAAAAATGTCACAATGCCTCAGACAACAGAGCATCACAGTACACACAAAGAGGCAAGATAAAGCAAGAGAAACAAGGGACCAGGATACAGACCCAAAACACATCCCTGAGGAAAATGCAGCATTAGAACTCCCTGATAAGGAATTCAAAAGAATTATATTTAGGTATCTTCAATGAATTGAGAGGCAGATCAAGGAAAACACTGACAAAATTGAGAAAAACACAGAGAAAACCCTACAACAATTTTGAAAGACAATACAAGAACAAAATAACAAACCAAATGAAAAATTAGAAATGATACAAAATCTACAGACAGAAATCCAGAGGATTAATATTAAATGATCAGAAATAGTAACACACTGAACAGGCAAAGGAGTAGAATTGAATCAATGGAAGACAGATTTAGGGAGATTGAAGGCAAATACCTCGATACTTCTTTGGAAAAGGATCAATCAGAAAAAAGATCAGAACAAAATGAAGAAAGCCTAAAGTTCATGTGGGATACCATCAAAAGGCATAACCTACATGTAATCAGAATTCCAGAACAGGAAGAGACAAATAAAACCACAGAGAAAACTGTCGAAGATTTGTTGGAAGAGAATTTTCCTGGTATGATGAAAGAGGAGAATACATCCATTCAGGAAGTCCAACGAATCCCTAACAAGATAGATCCCAAAAGAAAAACACCAAGACATATCATCATCAAACTCACCAAAACCAAAGATAAAGAAAGAATCATGAGAGCAGCATTGGAAAAACAAAAAGTTACCTACAAGGGGCAACCAGTAAGACTAAGCTCCGATTTCTCAGCAGAAATCATGCAGGTGAGAAGAAAATGGGATGGTATATTTAAAACTCTGAAAAAGAAAAACTTCCAACCAAGAATTATGTACCCAGCAAAACTGTCCCTCAAATATGATGGTGAAATTAGGACATTTCCAGATAAATCGAAATTAAGAGAACTTGTTAAAACCAGACCAACCTTACAAGAGATGCTAAAGGGGGTCCTTTGGACAGAGAACCAACAACAGCATACAACAACTGACCATTAATACACATGATGACATAACCCAGAAACCAACCCAGCTATGAAAGTATCCAAAGTAAATAAGCCTACAAGATTTTAAACAGGAAACCAGAGACATCAATTGACAAATGAGGACAACTACAAACCAAAAAGAGGGAAAAAAATCTCTCATTACAGAACTCGTAGATGGTAGGGAAGTCAGGACAACTACAAGATAGAACGGACTGTTCTAAACTTGGGAAGAAAACTATAAATCACAGGGTAACCTCAAAGAAAAATTAAAAACCTTCACATAAATTAAAAAGAGGACCAGCACAAATATTTAGCAAGTACTAAAACAACGGCAACAAAGGAAGTGATAACACAATTCATACACAAAATGAGCTCAGCATAGAAAATTATATGAAACAAAGAAATCGACGCCACGAAAAAGGACATAACAAAAACGACAGCAACAAATTCATATTTGCTGATAATTACATATCTGGCAAGGGACTTATCTCTATGGTTTACAGAAAACTCCAACACCTCAACAGCAAAGGAATTAAAACAATCCAATTGAAAAATGGGCAGAAGACATGAATAAACACTTCACCAAGGAGGATATTCAGGTGGCCAGCTAATACATGAAGAGATGCTCACAATCACTGGCCGTCAAAGAGATGCAAATCAAAACGAGACACTGTCTCACCCCAACACTGATGGCAAGGTTCAACAAGACAGAAAATAACAAATGCTGGCAGGTATGTGGAGAGATTGGGACTGTAATACACTGCTAGTGGGAATGTGAAGTGAAAAAACCACCGTGGAAAGCAATATAGTGATTCCTTAGAAAGCTGGAATTGGAGATATCATTTGACCCAGCAATCTCATTACTAGGTATATATCCTAGAGAGGTGAGAACCAGAAAAGGAACAGATATATGTACACTCATGTTCATCACAGCACTATTTACAATAGCAAAAAGACGGAAACAACCTACGTGCCCATCAATGGAAGAATGGACCAAAGTATGGTACAAACACACAACAGAATACTATGCAAGCCTAAAGAATAACGTAGAACCTGCAAAACACCGCATAACATGGATGAACTTGGAGAACATTATGCTGAGTGAAATAAGTCAATCACAGAAGGACAAATATAGTATTAGTTAGTTGTTGTGGAGAGTCAAGGAAAGGTTTATATATGGAGGGAAACTCTCTTTGTTAGTTGCTAGGGGTGGAAAGGGAGGGGAAGGAACACTGCAAAAAAAAAATGCACTGACACATGTCATTTTAGTTTTGTATATTTCACTGTACATAAATTATATTTCAATTAAAAAAAAAACCACTTTAAAGAGGTCTTTTTGTAATAGATTTGCCCAATGCATTATATAATTTGATTTCTTGACTGCTGCTTCCACAGGCACTAATTGTTGATCCAAGTAAAATGAAATCCTTGACAATTTCAATCTTTTCTCAGTTTATCATGATGCTGGGTATTTGTCCAGTCGTGAAGATGTCTGTTTTCTTTATGTTGAAGTATGATCCATTCTGAAGGTTATAGTCTTTGATCTTCAGTCAGTGCTTAAAGTCCTTTTCACTTTAAGCAAGCAAGATTGTGTCATCTGTATAGCGCAGGTTGTTAATGAGTCTTCCTACACAATCCTGATGCCACCTTCTTCTCATATAGTCCAGCTTTTTGGATTATTCGCTCAGCATACAGATTGAATAATTTTGGTGAAAGAATACGACCCTGCTGCACACCCATACACATTTCCTGATTGTAAACATCACAGTAGCCCCTTGCTACTTGTTGATGTACAGGTTCCTCATGAGCACAATTAAGTGTTCTGGAATTCCCATCCTTCACAATGTTATCCACAATTCGCTATGACCCACACAGTTGAATGCCTCTGCATAGTCAATAAGACACAGGTAAACATTTTCTGGTATTCTCTGCTTTCAGTCAAGATGTATTTAACTTTGGGAGTTCCCTACCAATGTACTGATAAAACTGATTTTTAATTATCTTCAGAAGCAAAA